TTCTCTTCCCTCTGTTTAGGATGCATGACCTCATGACCTCCCACACTTACACACCCTCACCTAAGTCTAGACGCAAGGAAGAGAAACTTCAGCATCGCTTTTCTTGCTGCTGCTACCAGCCTTTGAGAAAAGGAATCGAATATTCACAATGCCATAAAAAAGCCCACAGGATGCAGCGTGGAAGTGACAATGGGAGAATTGATAAGATGAAAGGGAATGTCATCTTTTCTCTAAAATACCTGATTTGGTTTTTCAGTACCTACTCCACTGACAAATATATTGGGTAACTGGATTTTTGAAGCAAAAATACAAAGAGGAAGTTATCTTCCTTCTCTGAATATAGACTTCAAAACATCAGGAGCGCTTCTGTGTTGTTCACCGCCATGTCCCCAGGGCTTAGAATACAATAGGGGCTCAAAAAATACTTGTTGAAAGAATGACTAAGTAGCCAGTTATCTGAATATGCTAATTTATTTTTTTAATAGTAACAGAGGACCTGTTTGTGTTCACATTATAGTGAAAAGATGGCTTCCTTTCTATATTTTTGTTTCCAAAATCTACTTACTCAATATATTTGTGTGTGTGTGTATGTGTGTGTGTATGTACATATGTATATATGTATATATGTATATATATGTATATATATATATATATAAAATAAAATCCCTCATGAAGGCAGGGATCTTTTATCTTGTTTTGTAAACTGCAGTATTTCTAGCACCTTGTGTCATGCATGGAGTATAGTAGGCGTTCAAAACATTTGTTGAATGAGTTATTGGGCATATCTTGAAGAGGGAAACATGATATCATGGGAAAAAAATGAACCTCCCATTAACACCTGCCTCCTGGTTCAAGTTCCAAACATAAAAAGCCTGATTTGTCTGATGACCTAGAGAAAATGCCGTATTTTGCGTAAGGTCTCTGATGGTTCTGCTCACGGGCTCTCCTCTACTCTGAGCACGGGGACTCTCTCTCTCTTTTTTTGCCCTGTGCAGCGTCCCCATACTGTTACCAAGACCTAGTTTAATACGACCGCTTTGTGGAGAGTTTTCATGATTAATCAGATTTGAACCCTCATCCTGCTCTACTCTGTGCTTTCATGTGCGTGGGAATAACCGGCCTGATCGCAGCGTTAGGGAAGCTTTATCTAAGTGTATGGAGCCTTTCCTTCTGCCCTCGCCTTCAGTTGTCATTTCTGATGATATCCTGCCCTCCTTGGCCTCTCCTTCCTGACCTGCTCTTCCTCTGGGTCTAAGATTTATTACTGACTCTCCCACCCCACCCCACCCCCCAGGCTTCCCCTGTTAAGTATGCTATATGACAATTTCTCAAGATCTAAGGCGGTAACTGCTTCATAACCATACTACATAATTCAAGGGATAGTTGGTGCAAGTGGACAGACTACGGACCTGATCATGCTGAGACCTCATTTCTAGAAAGGCCTCTGCCACTAACCAGTTTTGTGAGTTAGAGATTCTCAGTCTCCCTGGGATTCCCTTTTCTCCCGTGTTTGTAACCTGTGCGGGTGTGTCTAGAGCAGTTTTCTATAAATAACACTAATCCACATGTGTCTTTCAAAAAATATGTTCTGGGATCATATTCATTTGGGAATTGCTATGTGTTATGTCACCTTCTTGAATATTGGCAGGTTAAGGTGCTGCCATGTTCTGAAATAAAGGAACTATTTTTCTTTACCTGATAATTGACTTTTATTGAGGGGAGAGGAAAGATGTTGAGAGTTCCCTAGAAATCCATGAGGAAAGCCCTAGTTGAACTTTCTAGGAATCTTGGCTCTAATTGCACATCCCTGGATCTCCAGTGCCAGCTGCGGTGGTTATAGAGAAACGTAAGACAGGATCTTGGCCTTGCAGGCATAAAACATCCAATAGGGAAGAAGTAAAAGATCAATGTTGTAAAGGATGGCAATTTGAGACGAAAGCTTTGTTCAAATTATAATGGGCATAAGATTTGAGAAGCAAGTAGGTCTGCCCAGAGTTGGGGCAGTGGGTGAAGAAGGGAAAGGTTCTACAGGGGAAATGTCATTTGAGCTGAGCACCGAGGGCTGTTGGCAATAATTCACCAAGTAGAGTAGGTGGGCAAGGATATTCCAGGCAGAAGGAACAACATGGCACAGAGGCATAAAATCCCAAGGTATGTTCCAGGCCTGTGAAATAATTTTGTGGTTATGGTGTCTAAGAGCAGAGGCTATGTAGGGAGAGAGGAGCCAGAGGAAATTCTGGGAGATGAGTAGAGGCTTGCTTGCCCGTGCTGTAAGTGTCATTCCATGAAGTCTGAAATTATTCCTGTAGGTTACAGGAAACCATCCTCAGATTGGTTTTTACTCCAGGGAATTACATGATCAATGAGTATTTTATAAAGAGAATTATGAAAGAAAAATGAAAATCCTGGAGTGCTAAGACAGGTGGGAGGGACAAGAGACTGGCAGGAAAACTAATGCTGACTCTATTGAAATGGCTCAAGTAAGAGATGATAAAAAGCTGAATGATGACCTTGGCCAAAGGATGGGCTGGAAGAAGCAAGTTTGAAGGAAATTTGGGAGCTCAGCAGACTACCAGGAGTGATTGCATATGAGGCAAGAAAGAAAGAGGATAGAAAAAGACTCTATGGCATGTAGCTTGAGCAAATGTTGTGTGATTATAAAGTTTACTGAGATAGAAGCTCAGAGGATTGAATTGTTTCATACAGATTTTGAGTTGGACTGGAGATTCTATTCCACAGAGGAATTTTCCTGTAAAAACATATCCACTGATTTTTTATGTTTCAGGGTCCAAAAATGATTTAACTGAAGCCTATACTCTTAGTAAGGAGATTCAGTATCTACAAAAAAAATCC